AAGAAAGAAATCATTGGAAAAATTTAAAACGAGATTATTATTCATCATACCGCGGAAGAAAATAAAAAGTTTGAAGTCGAAGGCCTCGAAACGATCCTTTCTCCAATTTTTCCAACAAACAATGCGACTCTCGGTTTTGTCGAATCGCGACAGTTTTTTTAAGATAAAACGCGGAGCCGACGACGCGGTCCAAGACCACCCGAAGAAAACCCGTTTCGGTCGCACGTGTTCCCGTAGGAAAACCGCAGACCGGAACCAGACATTGCCGCTGCCTGTCTCACGTGTACGTTACGAACTTTCTCGTCTGTTTACATCCGGTGACATTTCGATTCTTCCGATAATTCGCTTTTCATTGGCTAGAAGATAGTTTCAAACCTTTTCTCCCTTGTCGTTTACGAATTTAATTCTCTAGTTAAGGATTCGAAAGAAATTTTAAATTGTTTTATAATACTTTCCTTCTTCCTTGGAATTTTCATTTAGAAATTTATTAATCGAGAGAGTTAATTCCGATTCCATTGACACGAATAAAATCGAACAGCTATTGAAAGGATTATCAAAATTATTATTTTTGAAGATTAATTAAGGAATATATCTTTTCAAAAAATATTCCAGGAAAATTTTTCCTTTTCTCCCCTGTCGTTTACGAATTTCGTTAGTTTTCTAGTTAAAGATTCAAAAGAAATTATTCTTTTATATTTTCCCTCCTTTTTCCTTGGAATTTTCATTTCGAAATTTTTTAATCGACAGAGTTAATTCCAATTCTAATTAATACGAATAAAATCGGACAGCTATTGAAATGATTATCAAAATTATTATTTTTGAAGATTAATTAACGAATATATCCTTCCAAAAAATATTCTCTCCTATCGTTTACGAATTTCGTTATTTCTCTAGTTAAGGATTCGAAAGAAATTTTAAATTATTTTATAATACTTTCCTTCTTCCTTGGAATTTTCATTTCGAAATTTTTTAATCGAGAGAGTTAATTCCAATTCTAATTGACACGAATAAAATCGAGCAGTTATTGAAAGAATTATCAAAATTATTATTTTTGAAGATTAATTAACGAATATATCCTTCCAAAAAATATTCTAGGAAAATTTTTCGTTTTCTCCCCTGTCGTTTACGAATTTCGTTATTTCTCTAGTTAAAGATTCGAAAGAAATTATTCTTTTATATTTTCCCTCCTTTTTCCTTGGAATTTTCATTTCGAAATTTATTAATCGAGAGAGTTAATTCCGATTTCATTGACACGAATAAAATCGGACAGCTATTGAAAGAATTATCAAAATTATTATTTTTGAAGATTAATTAATGAGTACATGCTTCCGAAAAATATGCGGAAAATTAATGATAGAAGAAAAATTTTGATCGATATTTCAAGATTAAAAAATATTTAAACATATTGCGTT